ATGCAAATAAGTGTTGGATATGTCATACAATCGATCATTTGGTTGAATTCGCGGACAATTGTGACGATCGATGAAACGGAGAAAATGCATGTTTTGGACGTTAAGTCCGAAGAGGAGTTAGAAGTGATAGGAATCGATAAAATTGAAATGGTTTACGGGAGCTCTCACTTCAAGTCATTAGAAAACGGCCAAAATGTCAGTCTCGCTATGTCTGCGGCGGCCGAACGCGCCTGTTATCACTCCACTTGTGTCTCAAACGCAACTCTTTCTAACAATAATTCATCGAATTTACTCATTCTTGGTGTAAATTCTATTCATTTGTTTGCAATCAGGAGTTGGTCTGAAAGGATAGACCTATTACTCGAAGAACAGAAATATACCGAAGCACTCGCTTTGAGTCTTTCCTTTTATAAAAGTAAAGCAAAGGCTGTGATTGGATTGAGTGGCAAAAAGTCAGAAAAGCGGGCAATAATTGCGCAAAAACTAATTGAAGTGTTAGACATATACGTGAACTCAACGCTCACATCCATGTGTCCCGATTCGGGCAAAATAGAGATCCTTATTGAACACTACAAAAACCTGATCCCAACTTCTATTTACTACTGTCTGTCTATTGAAGACAATCAGCAAATGTTGAGCGAATTATTTGACAAATTCTCTGACGACTCGATCGCCAGAAACGTATTCTTAGACTCATTAGAACCCTATGTATTGAACGGAGAGCTGAGGAGTTTGGGTCCAATTATTGCCAAAGAGCTGACCGTTCATTACGAACAGAAGAAATGGTTTCATACTTTAGAGTCAATTGTCACACATCTTGATATCACATCACTTGATATTCACTACGTTATGACCATTTGTCGCAAACATTCTTTATTTAATGCTATTATTTATATCTCTAATCATGCATTTGATGACTATATGTCACCATTTGAAGAGCTAATTAGGAAATTAGAGGTTTTTGTGGCAAATGGACAGGTATTTAATGATAAAGACATTGAATTGGGAAATAAACTTATAGTTTATATCAGTTGTCTATTGAGAGGACTATCCTTTCCCAACAATCAGGCCATAGAAGCGGAGAAAAAGTCAATTCTAGTCAGAGATATATTGTCTCGTATTTCTAAACCCAATGATCCAAACAGTCGTTATAACAATCCATTTGAAGATAAAGATTATCCAAATTTACGAACACTTTTGCACTTCAATACAAAACATTTTCTTACAATACTTTTGGACGCTTTTGAAAACTTTGATTCAGAGAATAGCTTTCTGTAAGTTTTAGACACTATATTCATATTATCATTAATTATAATTAATTGGATTAATCACATTCAGAACCGATCAAAAACAAAAAATGGTCGATATTTTAATTCATATAATGATTGAAAAGATGGGATTTGATGAGAAAGAAAGCCGTTGTCTATACATATTTATTGTCAAACTATTGTCTGATAAGCGAAACACTGTTCACATCAAAAGGACACTCTTGGATGAGGTATTGATCACAACTTAATAGTTTGTTTTAAGAATATTATTGAATTTATATATTTTTTAGATGATTGAAAATCTATTTGTTTCGGAAGATAAGCAATCATTTGAGGAGAGAGAGCGTGTCTTATTAGAACTGTTGCAGTCAGAAGCAGGACATGGTTTGCATGGTTTAGATGAAACACAATTCTTACGATTGGCACTAAACGCCAATTTGTTAGTTATTTTTTTGTATTACGTTTTACCGGTATTAAGATTTTCAATTATAACTTACTTTTAATGCTTTTGTCAATAGCTTTCGTATCTGTGAATACATTTATGTGAAGAATAGAAATTGGGGGCAAATTATGGTGTCTTATCTCAAAGACAACCAGAGAAAGGTAGAAATGGTTACAATCTATTAGTTAATTAATTGACTCAATTTTATTTATGAATTCAGAGCCATGTATTTGATTACATCAATCAAATCGTAATGTCTGCTAATGTGTCCGTTGAGGAGAAAAAAGTTTTCATCGAAACTATTTATTCTAATATCGAAGTAATTATTGAAATCGATTTCAACAAAACGGCAACATTTCTATTGGATTACTTAGAAGTGGACAAATGCGAGCAAATAATCACTTCTCTTGAATCGAAACCTAAAGTATTGTATAAACTATTGTTTGGAATATTGTTAAACGCATCGAAGAAGAGTCACAAAAGAGATCCGTCGACTGGAAGTATTGATTTGGAGTTACTTCCCATTAAAGAGCAGAGAAAACAAATGCTAATAACAGATTCGCGATTACAAGAAAAATTAATTGAATACATGTGTGAATTTGAACCAAAATGTGTTTACAATACACTTAATATTCTTGAAGACTATCGACCGGACGTCGTATTAATGGTAAGAGAAGACAATATATATAATATGTTTTGCTTTTGATTTTAATTGATTTGATCTATCATTAGATGACCAGAAAGAATGAGATAAACGACGCGACGGCTTATTTGCTCGAAAAGACGGCCAGATTTGAAGAAGCGTTCAAATTATTGCACAAACAATTGGATGAAATTATTATCGATTTTAATGGCTCAGATGTGGAGGCATTTTGGACTCAAATACATAAACAGATGATATGTCTCATAGATTTGTGTCAACGCTGTTCACCCAAAGTGGAGTCAATAGAAAATCAGTGGCTTTTGTTACTCGAATCGATGCAAACAATCAATATCTTAGTGAAGGGTTCGTCGAAAGCCAATCCACTCGAAGACGACTTTTCAAAAAGATTGCGTCATTTAATGGACAGATTAGTGAACGGAATCAACGGAACTCTTAATTTGACTTCAGTTATGGAAAGGTTTGTTAATAACGGGTCGAGCGATGGAAACAGTGAACAACTCTATAATATGAGAGATCTCTTTCAAACGGTTTACGATAACTATAGCTATGAGGAGACACTTTTACAGACGACCAACAATTTGCTATTAAATGAATTACACCAACACTTGGCTCTCCTTAAGAGAGACGCCAATAAAGCCAATTCCAATCGCGCGAAGACGTGTTCCGTTTGCGGCAAAGATCTCAAACTCGATGATAATGTCATACTATTTGGATGTAAGCATTCATTCCATGAGCGCTGTGTCACCACCAAAGACGGGCCCATCTGTTACTTATGCGAGCCGTCATCGCATGATAATTACGATAACAATTCATCCAAACGTTTGTCGAATCCACAGGATATCGATTCCCATGACTTGCATAACAATCACAAAATAGATTCACTAAAACTAAGCGAAAGCCAATTAAATGCTTTGCAATACCTTAAGAATGGCCAGAGAATCGATTCCAGAGTAAGTGTTGGGTTAGAAACTACTCTTAAAATGAATGAGTATTTTAAAGTTTTTTGTCACAAAAATAGGCAAATATTTTAAACCATTTGCCAAACACGAGGATAAGACTGGCGTCCAATGAGTTGCCGACCGAACAAATATTTAAACTAAAACTCGCCCCACAATGGAAACCAATAAGTGATGCATTTTAGGTAAATGTTTCAATAAATAAATATTTATTTTATATTTTAAAATATAGTAATTCGATGTTTTTGTTTGAGTTAATAAAAGCACAAATTATGCAAAAGTTATTAGTTTTACGAAACATTAAAATATTTTATAAAATACTGTTATATATAGGGTTTGACATAAACTTTGATTTACGGACTCATATACCGACTAGTATTGGGGATTCACTTCAAGGACTGGGAGTTTAGAGTATTTTTGGTTATATATTAGACTAGTATTAGAAAATAAATGATAAATATTTGTATATTTAATGTAAATATCGCACAAATTGTTGGGTCCAAGTGTTGGCCTGACTGGCCATCAGCCGTTGTGAACCCAACCGATTGGCACCCATTTTGGTTCCGTTTCTAACGAGTGTATAATTTCGATGAGTTTTATATAAGTTGTTCGCAACTCATCATTGATTAGTGTTATATCGAAATACTTTGCGTACAAATAGTTTAGTTTATGCGCTCCGAAGATAAGTGAGTGGTAATAGTCTTCAATGGCTTTATTCGACAAACTTTTATCACATTTTTGTGTCCGAATTGCGATCAATCGCTTCAAGTCATACGGCGGCCGAACAAAGATGACGTATGGCCTGAACTCCGGGATGTAAACCCTTTTGAGGCCTTGAGAGCTGAGATTCAATATGCATACGAACCCAGAATTGATGATTTGATGGACACACTCCTTATGAATGCCGTAATAATTGCCTTTGAATTGTCCGAATTCTACGAAATTTCCGCATTTTATCTCATTTTGAAACCAATCATCGCTTACGAAGTGATAGTCGATGCCATCGTTTTCATTGAAACGCTTGAATCGACTCGTGTGAGCGATTGGTCGCCGGAAATGATTCGGGCGCTCCTCTATTAGAAACCTAATGAGTGTCTTTCGGCCGACACCTACCGGACCTATGAATACGATTGGTCTGAAGTGATTGGGACGGGGATAGCATTTAGCCACCGGTTCATAGGTTGCTATCTGTTCCCTATCGAAGTGGACGCTATGGCACACATCATACATGACTTTCTTCACCTTACGTGCGCTCCAAACGGATTTGCGGAACGGACTCTTACAGCCGGGGATTATCTCAATGTAACGGTTTTTGTCAATTTGTGTCTTCAGATCTCGCATTACAGCCAAACGTCTTTCCTGGAGCTGTTGTCCGGGTATTAAACCGGCGAAAGTCATCCAACATTTCTCGGAGGGATCGGGCAGTTTGGACGCCTGCCACCAATTCGGGTCCTCTTTGTTCACCACATTTAAAATGTTACCCTTTTTGAAGGGCAAACCAATCTGACCGCAAGGGATATGCGGATCAACTGATGGCT